CTGTACCCTATGTTTGTAGCAGCATTATTCACAACAGTCTAAGAAAATAGACTTAGCAAATAACCTAAGTACCTATGGGCAGGTGAATGAAGAAGTTGAGGTATATATACAATGGAATATTATTCAGCCATAGAAAGGAAAGCCTGCCATTTGTTACAACATGGATGAGACTTGAAGACATGCTAAGTGAAATAAGTCAGAGAAAGAAAAACACTATATGATCTCACTTATATGTGGAATCTGAAGACAAAACCAAACACCAAAAACTAAGCTTGTGGAAAAAGATAAGATTTGTGGCCGCCAGAGGTGGAGGGTAAGAGGAGGGAGAATTGGCTTAGGGTAGTTAAAAGACACAAGCTTTGAGTTGTAAGATAAGTAAGTACTAGGAATGCACACTTGCTGACTATAGTTAACTCTGCCCTAGGGTGTTTATGAAAGTTAAGATGGTAAACCCTAAGAGTTCTCATTGCAAGGAAAAAAACACTTTTTGGTATCTGTGTGAGATGATGGATGTTCACTAAACTTACTATGGTAATCATTTCATGATGTAAATAAGTGAAATCTTTATGCTGGGTACCTTAAACCTGTATAGGAATGTATGTCAATTTTATCTTAATAAAACTGGAATAAAATGTGCAGATTCTCAGAAATGGAAATAGTAATAATATATCAAAGGATGTGAACATTTTAAAAGATAGATACTTGTTTTCAAATTGTTTTTCAAAAGCCAAGTTTATTAATACCAAGTTCCACACCAGTATATTTGAGTGTTTACTTCATTATATCCTGGCCAGCTTTGGTGTACATTGAAAATACATAAAAGTTTCAAGAAACTTGGCAGGGCCCTTGGGTTGGAACAGATCTGCCTGCAGCTGGACCTCCTTTCCTTTTGAAGTGTGTATTTCTAGGCTAATGGTAAATGGAGAAGCTTTGGGGTCATGGTTGAAGCCTGGGGCAAAGTGAGAGATGGGGGGGGATGGTGAAGGGAAGAGATTCAATTTTCCCTCGCTTTTTATTGCTTAAAATATTTTTTGAGGCAATCTCAAAACTTATAGAAATGTTATACAGTACAAATTTTTTTTTCTCTTGAACCATTTGAGAATAAATTAACAATATACTATTGCCCCCAAATACCTTAGTGTGTATTTCCTATAAACAAAGGTATTCTTCTGTCTAACCCTAAAATAACCATCCAAATCATGAAATTAACATTGATATATTACTAACATCTAATCATATCCTATTTTTGTTTCACCAAGTGCCTTAATATCCATTACAGCAAAAGAGCACATTCAAAATCCTGTGTTATTTTCCTTGTGTCAATTTGAAACAGTTTCCCAGCCTTGATTTTTATGACCTTCACACTTTTGAGGGGTACAAGTCAGTTATTTTGTAGAATGTGCCTCAGTTTTGGATTATTTTTTCATAATAGCATTCAGGTTGCACCTCTGGCAGAAATATCACAAACGTGGTGTTGTGTTCTTTGCATTATATTTTACCTGCAGGTGCAGGACTTTGATTTGTTCTGTTTATAATGTTATGTTGATGACTTCTTTAGGTTGTATCTGCTAAGCTTCTCCACTGTAAAGTTATCCTCTTCATAATAAGTATTTGGTGAGGACATATTTTGAAGCTATGTAAACATCCTGTTCCTTGTGAATCAACCAACCAACCTTTCATCCATCTATTTGTCAATCAACCAATCATTTAATTATGGATTTTTGGTTTCCTGTTTGGTTCAATAGGATTATAATTTATGACCATCACTAATTCTGATGCTCAGATTGTCCCTCATTGGTCAATGGGAATTCTTCCACCCTGGTATCTGTGTCTTTTCACATGTTCCCACCATTTTTTGGGAGACATTACTTTCGGAGGAGATATTCTTGGTTCATATTGTACTTTGCCTACTCCAGCCCTGGAATCAGCCTTTTGTCTGAGGAACTCTGATTCTTTTTAGTGGAGAATGATACTTAACAACCAAGATCTGGGTGTTTTGTCTGCTCATTACTATTGGGATGTTGCTTCTCCCAGGCCCTACCAGTGGGTTGGGGAATGTGTGTGTTCATGTCTTTACCTCTGTAGTTTTTCATCTGCCTCTAAAAATACATGTTTCACTGATCCATACAATTCTAATTTAGCAGGGTTCACTCTAGTTTTCTCCTTTTTCCTATTAATCTTTCTCTGACAGTGACAAAACTTGGTTCCCATTATTCAGTGTTTATACACTTCTGTGACCCGTGCCCATGTATATAACCAGTCTCTCATCAGTGTGGCTGCTGTCTTCCTCTCCGCTCCTCCATGCCCCCTTGACCACACTTGGACTCCACCCTATGCCAGGCTGTCCAGCCAAGAGGAAGCCCTTCTTACTTACTTAGGACTTTGGCCCTTGCCCCAGGTCACCGCATCCACATCCCACTTCTGATTTGATTATGGTGCTCCTCTATGGGCCACATCTCCTCCCTTCCCCCTAGCCTACCCATGTTAGTACTGAAATGTTTGAGATGAGGAACAGTTCTTAAATGTCCTTAAGAGACCTAGTGGATTTTAACTGGAAGGACCAACCTCTTGGCTCATTCATAGAAATCTTTGGTTTGTTTAACCTTAACCTGAGGACTGCCCTGGTGGTACAGCGGATAGAATCTGCCTGCCCATGCTGGGGACACGAGTGTGAGCTCCGGTCTGGAAAGATTCCATATGCCATGGAGCAACTGAACCCATGAGCCGTACTTTCGGAGCCTGCATGCTGCCGCTACTGAAACCTGTGTGCCCAGAGCCCGTGCTCTGTGACAAGAGAACCCAGTGCAATGAGAAGCCTGCTCACCACGATGAAGAGCAGCTCCCGCTTACACAACTAGAGAAAGTCTGTGTGCAGCAGTACCGGCACAACATATATAAACCTGGGGGAAAAAAGAGGCTGGGCTTTGCTGTTTCCCTTCACCCAGCAGTTTTTCATCCAAGTCCCAGATCGCATCCACACTGTCTCTTCTGGTAGCTAGTGCTTTAGAGGAATGACAGAAAGCCAGCTGAGTCTTACGGGGTCCCCACCAGGTGGGGCAAGTCTCATGGGAATGTTTTCTCCTGAAGATGCTGGTTTCCCAGGCAACTCATTAGAAAAACAGAACAAGGGTACCATCTTCACTTTCTAACCCAAACTGGAAATGGACTCAAAAAGAGCTACCTCAATTCCATGAGTAGACAGATTCCCCCCATTCTGTCTAGCTTGATTGCTCCATTACAAGCTGTTATTCTTTGTCTTTTATTCATAGTTGCTGGTGGGGGACTGGCAGAGGGGACAGAAAGAGCTAGTGACTGTGGGGAGGTGGGGACAGTTGTACTCTGGGTTTCCTGTCTGAGTTAGCCACAGGGTTTTCTTTCAGAACTCTTGCTCCACCCAGAGGAACACCAGCAGTTCCTACCTGATGGACTTCAAGACAGAGGAGAGGTCAGGGGTAGCAGCTGCAAACCTGGGTGCAGAAGATAGATGGTTTAAAATGTCTTTGCTAACTTGATATGTGATGATAGCATCTTATTTTTTTGTGTGTGTGCTAGAAGTATGTATATATGTATCTGTGTAACTTTTAGAAAATGCTTTTCCTGTTGCCCCTTTTTTCAGTCCTCTGATGCTGTTTCATGTATCATTAATTTTTAAAAATTATTTTTGATAGCTACTACAATGTTTGAAGCTGGAAAGGACAAAAATAATCCAGATGAATTTGCTGTGGCACTTGATGAAACTCTTGGAGACTTTGCGTTCCCAGATGAATTTGTCTTTGATGTTTGGGGAGTCATTGGTGATGCCAAACAAGAATGATTATGATGTGAATGATCGACTCTGGAAGAATGAACCATTGTTCCTTAAGAAAAAAGTAAGATCTGCCTTCAGACACTGTTATGGACTCTGGCTAGGTTTTATGTGTATGAGTACATTCTTCTGAAATATAGTCTTGATTTGGGGGCACTTTTTTAATGCAGTTGTATATGTAGTATGCTTAAGATAAATTACCTCAAACATAACCAATTTTAATATTCATTCAAAAGCTTTTTAAAAGTTAGTTTAGAGAGTATTTCTAGATAGATTATTTTGTTTCCCATTGACAGCTGTGTTTTGTTTTTCACATAAAAGTTGATTGCAGTAGCTTCGTAGTTCTTTTGCAAGATCTTAATGCAGTAAAAACTAGGATTGCAGTATAGTTTGCCTCATAGCATCTTCATTTTGTTATGCTAGTTTGAACAGGATGGGTTCAGAACATGAAATGTGAATTATGCCTACTAGATGTCTAGTAACATATATATTTTTTAAACCTGCTGAGTTACAGGAGGAAGATTCCTACAGCTTATTAAAGTCTAGGGCCTACTTTCTGTCTTTGTTAAAACAAGGATTGATTAACTTTTATTTTTTGCTTCTTTGTAATTGCTTTCTTGATTCTTAAACTTGTTGAAATCTATTGTGTTGTATATGTGTTTGCATGTGTAGAAGAAGGTGAAAAAGAGGAAGATAGCTTAGAAAACACTAATGTTTGATTTTTTTTTAGCAGTTCTTACAACACTATTTCTTTTCCACTCATACCTATTCTTATGTTACCCTTTATAAGCATTCCAGAGAAAGTTTTTTATAGTCTTTGTAGAACTTTTCTTTTGAAAGATGTTTACTCAGAAAATAGCTGTGTTTGAGGACATTTTTGGGGGTGGTTAAAGAGCAAAACTTTTAAGCCTCCTAAACTTTAAAGGAGATACTATCAGAATAGATTTCCCCCAAGTGAAAATGCAGGAGGAAGGGAAAGTTGAGAAAAATATATTATTCTATTACTTTGGAGTTCTAATTCACTCTCTCTAAAACCTTACATTATTGAGAAAATTGAGGGTAAATGACTGTCTTATCACTGTTTCTTGACATTTTACAGATGTAAGGGAGATGGAAATGAATGGTTTCAACACAGATCATTTAATAAGGCAGAGCATGGTGTGACCAAGCATTTTTCTAAAGTGTTAGATGGAAAATGCTGCATGCTGCCATAGTAATCGGAAATAATAACCTGTGTGAGGTATATTCTAGGAAATCAGAAGTAGTTCCCTTTTCATGCTGGGTTAATGCTTACATAACTTGTTTTCTTGTGCAACTTCAGTTTTACTGCCTTCCACCCTCTTTTTCACATACATTTAATTCTTTGAAGCTTGATATTCTTTGTCTCATTGATCTGAAACCTTTACAGAAACTGTCATTAACATGTAACAAAAATAGTTTAGAGGAGGTGGATTGTCTTATTGCCCTTGCCCATCATTTGGAAATAGGATCCAGCCTAGGCTGTAATAATTTCTTGCTGCTTGTTTAGTGAATTTTCTTATGGAGGTTCCCACGTACTGTTAATTCTTAATACCATTTCTCGTAGAAGAACATACTATAAAAGAGCTGATATTTTTAGAGATAGGAAGGTTATTGGATGACTTAGGAGGCTCACAGAAATATTTCAGTTTAAACAAGACATAAATTTTTTGGCACTAGATGTTAGATTTGAGATGATGAAGCATTGTTTATTATTGATGCTGTCTGGTTCTCTTTCCCTTTTGGGTATGGATGGTGACACTTGGTGCAAATTCCCTGTGATTTATGGAATCTCATATTTACAAAGTGGCTGTCCTTACCATGATCTCTCTAGAATTTTGATGTGTAAGGTACTGACAATCAAGTGCAATTGCAACTGTAACTTGCTTGTTAATGTTAGATGAGCATTTATCATTACGGGTCTTAGCTGGGCACAGGTGCTTTCCTAGAAATAGATTTTTGCCTTGAAATGTTCTCTCTCATGTCTACTGCTAAACTGATAACAAGGTCAGTTTCTTTATGTCATTTTGTTCTCTTACCTGAAAATATATCTCTTTTTGTGCCTTTGGTAAAATTCCCAGTGCATGAAAAAAACAGCTTTTCGGGTCTCACAGTCTACAAGATGGGGCTACCCTTCTACTGCTACAATGAGACAGGCATTTTTTAAACTCTGCCGTGTTTCTGGGAACCGCTAAACATTTTCAGAACTCTGTTGTTTTCTCTCAAAGAACTTTTTTTTCCTAGTGGAGGATGATTGCTTTATTCTTTTTAAAATGTTGATTCTTGTTTTATTTATTTATTTTATTCTTGTTTTCCTTTCACACAAAGCAGCACCTTTCAGTGACCACTAAGAGCTCACTCCGTTTTTTTTTTTGTGTGTGTGTGTGTGGAGAAAATGCAAAGGATGTTTGAACATTGGGTTCTTGAATGTAGCTTGGCTCTGACCAGGTCTACACATTCTGATGATTACAAATGAGTACATTTTGGGTTTCTGTGATGTTTCAGAAACACAGTTATATAATTATACCATGTGAAACTCTTTAAGAATTCAATTATAAAAGATTTAATCAGTTAACCTCTTTTTGGAGCTGCTGTAGCCAATAGTCTAATATGACAGATATTTAGCTAAATAGAGATAATTTTTCCAAATAATGTTTAATTTGCAGCATTCCCCCACACCTTTAACAAGTAGACATTTTCCAAGTAAGGCACACTTTGTTTAGCTCCATGTTGTTGCTAGACCTCCATCAAGTTCAGAGAGAGCCTTCCTGTTTCCTTCAGTTATCATTACCTCCCTAGCATAGTAGCGAAATGAATTTCATCTGCAAATGGTGTTTTCAAAATAATGGTTCTTCTAATAGGGCATAATTACCCATCAAAGATTTAAAAGAATGATCATATGATTACCCTTTCACTCTGTGATAGAGCTGAAAAATATGGATACTAATAGTATGCTGTGATTCTTGAGGAAGTAATAGATTAAAAGGACAGGTGAATATTTTACTCAAGCTGTGAGTGAGTAAAGAGTAGATGCTATTCAACTCACAGTCCCAAGGATTAGTGTTATGTGTAAAGTTCACTTTTATTATCTTCTTGACACAGGTTGAAAGCGCTATCAGAGTAATTTATTATGATTATAAAATGTTTCTAAGATTGTGAAGTGTACCAATGGCACAGCCTGTCCCTACCTATTACCTGAAAACCTAGTTCTAAGAAATGATTCACAGTTATTATCTGCTAGAAGGGCAAGCAAAAGTTGAATATGACGTTCTTTATTTCTTTGGAAGCATTACATCTCCATGACACTTATGTACAGTCATAAATATTTTCAAGCTATAGAAAAAATTAAATTAAAAAAATTCTGAAGGATAGTTTTAAGTAAACATTTTATATTTTGAACTGTTTGTGCCACGCATACAGCACTGACTATATACAGGTAAAATATTCTATTTTTTCAAAAAGAAATGTTTCTTCTCTTTTATAAAAATTGTTTCTTATACTTTAAGATGTATTTTTGAGATTGAACTTGGAAATCTATTAATATGTGAAATTAATATAATATAATTAAAAATTATATTTGATATTGTTTAAAAACACTACTTACTGTATTTCTACTTACAGTGTATAAAATTTCATGTATTGATCAAAAATAAATTATTTGTAAAGCTAACATAACTTTATAATTCTTATATTCAAAATAGAAATCCTCAAATAAAAAACTTTTAATGAAAAAAAGTGATGAGTGTTTTTATGATGAAAACAACAAAAATTTTGGGTTTTGAATGTCAGACTCTTTAGTTTTGTCCAAATAAATGGTGGGAATAACACACGTGATTGTCTAGGCCTTTGTGTTTTTAGCATGTGTGGTGCTGTGTTTTAGTTGTGCAGTCGTGTCCGACTCTTTGCGACCCCGTGGACTGTAGCCCACCAGGCTTGTATGTCCCTGGGGATTCTCCAGGGATGAATACTGGAATGCATTGCCAAGCCCTCCTCCAGGGGATCTTCCCAACCCAGGGATTGAACCAGGTCTCCTGCATGGCAGGCAGATTCTTTACCATCTGAGCCGCTAGGGAATCTCAAGAATACTGGAGTGGGTAGCCTGTCTCTTTGCCAGGGGACCTTCCCAACCCAGGGATTGAGCTGGAGTCTCCTGCATTGAAGGTGGATTCTTTACCAGCTGAGTTACCAGGGAACCTGACCGCTACCCACGGCGTTCCTCAGGCCTTGGGCCTGTCCCCTACTTTACCTCTTCTTAGGTGACTCACCTGTTCCTGTGCCTTTAAACATCTGTATATTTTCAACCCCCAAATCAGTATCACCAGGATGGGCCTCTCTCTGAGCTCTACCCTCAGATATTCAACTGTTTCCTTGATGTCTCCACCAAGTATGTCAAAACCTTAACATGTCTGGCAGGAAACATTAGACTTTTCTTAAAAGTCTTACTTTCCTTAATTTTCTGTGATAGGAAATGGCATCATAATTCACCTCATTGCTCTTTTACTTTGTCAAATTCAGCAGCAAGTCATTTCAATTCCAAAAAATACTGAATATGTCTACTTCTTTTCAGTTTCACTGCCGCCTATTTTATCCACACATCATTTCTCCGTGGTTGCTCCAGCAGGCTCTTTGTGACTGGTAATGAAGGTGCCCTGAAGAGGTTTACTGCAGGACATGAGTGTTCAGATTCCTTTAAAATGAAAGTGTCAGCAGCTCATTTTTTTTTTTCTTCTCTGAAAAGGTTTGACATTAAGCTCTTTTCTTTCTTTGAAGAAAGGGGCACAGCTTCTTGGATGACTCAGCTTCTACTAAAATTTCACAGAGTCTACTGTGAAAGAACTAGGGGGACAGAGGCAAGACAAAGAACTTTCACAGGTGTAGACTAAAGCGGGGAGGGGAATGAAGAAATCTCACAGCGGTGGACTAAAGGCTATGGGCTAAAGTGTGTGTGTGCACGTGTGTGTGTGAAGGGCAGAGAGAGAGACGTGTCTTAGGGGCCCAAACAGAGGAGGATGGGACCTTGCTTTCCTGCAGCCACATTATGGTTAGATGGAGTGTTTAGACCAACAGGAACAAAATTCTTTGAAAGATTCCTGATCTTTCATCGTGGCACAGAGGGAGACAGACCCATAGTGAGAGGTGGTGTTTGAGCACCCAAGACCTGTCAGGAAGCTTGAATCATTGCCCAGAGAGCACCAGCCTCCATAGAGCCAGCTCTTCCCATCCCCTATTTGTTTCTATCATCAGTGTTTAGTGCAGGTTTTGTCAGCAGAACTGCCGGTTGTCCTGCAGGAGTGTTACCGCATCAGCTGGAACATCTGGCTTATTACTCTGACGGCCCTATTTCCAGGCTTTTTTCCCCAGTTTTCATACATTTAATGTGTATGTATATAACCATAAACAACATGTAGCATTGCTCTTTGTGTTCTTATAATTAACTCCAGTTGTATCACACTGACTGTGCCCTTTTGCCACTGATGTTTTTCATTTAATGTTATGTTTTTGAGACTTAACCATCTTTTTTTTAACCTAGATCTATAATTTTATTTTTAAATGTCATATAGGACATACAGAAAGTGTATGAATGGTTGAAAACAGCCCATCACTGTCACCCTGGAAGCCCTGTTATTATTATTGTCTGAATGCTTGTGTAGCCCCTGTATGCATGTGTTGAACCAGACTCTTTTTTAAAAATTACACATAAGCTTTAGAAAAGTGAAATGGCCTCTTGAACACCTAGTGACATGTGGGGGAATCCTTGCTTCTATACTTGGGAGGCTGACCTGAGCTAGCACATGAGCCCCTGCTGAGACACCGGCAAATAACATGTTAATAGGATGACAGAACTCCCATTCAAGCTCCTTACTGTGCTCTAAAGCGCTGCCCGCCCCACTGACTCCCTCAGCTCTGTGCTCTGGTTATGTTGAACCTTCTTTTGACCTCCGCGCTCTTACATTTTTCAGATATTTTTCACTTGCTATTTTCTCTGCCTTGAACACCCTTTCTCCTATTTGCACAGCTTGGTCTGTGTCATTTTTCTGTTGTTAGCTAAGGCCAGTTCTTTGGAAAAGTCTTTTTTGATTTTCTCCATCCCCTTATTCTCTGTATTCTTGATCTGAGCCCTTGTTTGTTTCCATCACAACACATTGTTATTTGTGATTATTTTCTTAATTTGCCTTTATTCTATATTTCCTATTTGAATATCAGCTTCTTGGGGTGGGATTGTTTATGTCTTTCTCATAGTTTTACCCACAGTACTCATCATGGAGCCTGATATATATCAAGCACTAAAAGAGTAATTGGACTTTCCTGGTGGTTCAGTGGTAAAGGATCTGCCTGCCAACGCAGGAGATGTGGGTTTGATCTCTGGGTTGGGAAGAGCCCCTGGAGATGGAAACAGCAACCCACTCCAGTATTCTTGCCTGGAGAATTCCATGGACAGAGAGAAGCCTGGTGGGCTACAGTCTATGGAGTCACAAAAATCAGACACAAATTAGTAACTAGACAACAACA